AGTTGTAATAAAAGAACAAGATTCTGTTCTAATGGTAATGGCGTATGACAGACATATCACTTTGTCTGTCCTCAGCACCAGAGAGAGGGGAATTGGAGAAAGGTCACCTGACCTGCCTGTGGTGTTGTGCGAATGCTATACTGAGCTTTGAACTCCAGCCTGGAAGCACAATTATTTATAATACTAAATGATAAAGAAACCTTTATAGAGCCTACAGTAATTAGAATAAAGCTTATACAATAGTGCAGTGGCCTGGCTCAGAAAACACGCTGGCAAATCCGTCATAGTGGCAGAAACTGAAGCTTATGTGTTGAAACTAAACACCTTCGTTTGTGTCTGTGTGGACCTTCCTTTGCTTTTTCAAAGCTTGTTTGTGTTCAGCAGCTCCAAAAGTTCAATGTGTTTGTTGATTTTTTAATTTTTTTAAAATTTAATTTTTTTAGCTGTTAGGGAGTATCTGAGTTTCACAGCCTTTTTTCAGTATTTTTTTTAATTCCCAGCAGCAACTTGGTTCTTGAAGGTAGTTCGTGGTGGTCTTTCTCACTGTTTCTGCACGTCAAACCTCCACAGATCAACAGTTAATGCCTTAGACAAGCTTTCAGTAGATGCTGTTTGCTGAATCTCTATTTTCAGTCCACAGTTTACACTGGCGCAGCTTTAGTAATACGCTCAAGTGTTTGGAGACAAGGAGACAGCCTTACCTGAGAGTGTGTCAAGCTACTGGCAAACATCTAGGTCACTTCTGAAAAGCTGTGTTTTTTTCCCTCTTGTATAGTGTTAAAGTTAGTGTGCTGCTCTTTGCAAGGATTCTTCAAAGTCGGCCTCAGCAGCAGATGGAACAACTGTTGGCTCTAGAAATGCTGAGAAGCATCAGAGGGAGTTTGCCAAGGATCATCCTTTAAATCTAGTAAGACTTGAACACATCCCTGAAACTCCTCTAAGACCTTGGCAACTCTTCGTTTTGGCAAACCTTTTATCAGCGGCCCTCACCAGTGTTTGAACGTTGTGCTGGGCAGGCTATCCTGGCATCTTCTGTTGTCTTGCTCGCCTTTCAACAGATGTGACCTGGAATAGTCAAATTCACTTCCTAGGTTTCTGTACTGTAACTTTTAGGAAGCCATGAAGTAGAGATGCCATTATGCTGTGCTGCACACATTCTGTCAAGTTTTGGTTAGGAAACTGAGCTGGTGTCGTACATTCTTCCAAGAAGAAATCTGTGCCAGAAAAATTGATTTAAGAAACAGAGCTAGTGGAGCCTGTCCAAAAGAAAACGCGTGTGTCTTGCGGAAATGGATTTTAACACAGCTTCTTCTTGAGCAGTTTTAAAAACAGCCGGTATGCTAATCATACCATTCAAATTTACCAAGGCCTCCTCCACAACCCATTTGAAAGGCAACTTTGAAGTTTGCCAAATTGTGCTGGATTTCCAAAGTCTGTCTTAAGCACATTTTGCCTTTGATCGTGTAAATGCTTGCATGCTGCTCTGTTGGGTGTTCAAGGTGGTTACATGCTCCTGAGTAAGTAGGAGAGAACAGGCGCAGGTGCAGATAAGGACTAGGCAGAATAACCTACCAGTCCATCTTGAGATTAACTGCAAGCTTCTTGCTTGTACAGGGCCATGCAGGAGATAAAAAAAAACAATGTTATAGAGAATATGTTTATCTGAACAGTGACCTTTACCATGGTACCAGGATTCTCACCTGATAGCTACAGTCTTCACTGACTTCAGATGAGGTGCATTATACTCTTGAATAAAGGACAGCAACATCACCCTCACTTGTAAACAGCCAGGGTCCTGTTCATTCCTGCCTTTGTTCCTTCCTTTTCATGTTGCACGTATAAATATAGCATCTAGTGCCTGCGTGATGCAATATCCTAGCCCTTTCCATGTAACCTTTCAAGTACAGTAATTCTGGAGTGAATTTTCAATGTAGCTTGTAAATGTAGCTAAATGATTCCCCATATTTAATGGAGCACAGTGCATTGTCTGTAGCATCTGCTGAAAAACAGGAGCAATTCAGTGTGAAATGTGACAGGAGTGAATTCCTGGGCACTTTTCTTTTAACCTTGTTACGACCTCAGCCCTAACCCTACTCACAGTTGTGTCTCCATCAATGGCAACAGCACACAGATTGTCCAAATCAATTTTTTTGTTCTTTTCAAATACTTCTGGCAATGATGTTGCTATTTGCTCAGAAGTAGCACCTGGGAGTTGTGACAAGGAAGGGAAATGTGTTTCAGACAAGCCAGAAACAGCAGTGAGCAGTTAGATATACGCAATCAGATTCTCCTCAGCTGCAATATCCAGACAAATATAAGTGTGAATCCTTAACCGAAGATGGTACTTTATTTTCACATTATCTGATCCTCTGATCACCAAAGTAAACATTGGATTGAAAATTTTTCATGTCGCTTATAGTCAGCAATAGAATCAACTTTGAAAGATTTAGAGCTTGCCTCTCTGCCACAGCACAGATTGACCTTAAAATGGCCAGAGACTCTCCAGGGGGACTTCATCCATTTTTGAGGAATATCTGATGATGATGCTGCAGTTGCTGCCACATGCACCAGCTGTCTTGCATCCTGCTTAATAGTACACAAAGGATAGAAAGGGACCAACAGTGTGCCCGCTCCATTCTCACCCAGGCAAGGTAAGCCTGGATACGAAACTACATCTGAGTCACTGTTGACTTTCTTAGCAAGTATGTCTGATAACAGGAACAAAATAAAGAATAAGAGTCTTTGGAAATGGGCATTTTAGTTCAGACACACCACAGGCTATGTTATTAGGAAAAATAAGTAAACTATTTACTATGGGGAGCTGGTTGGGGATTTTCCTGTCCCAGTCAAAACTTACACTTCCCAGTTTCAGTGGGAAAGCTTTCTTGACTGAGGATAAAAATATGGTGAAAAAAAAGAAAAACATCTGAAGGGAAGGAGAGAGAAAAAGGCCCTAAAATGGCCTGGTAATAAGAACAGTCATCTAGATGATATTGCTGGTTCTACTTTGGGCAAATTGATGACTCGAACTTCATTTTAGGTGACTACCATAAGCATCCCTGTTAACTTGGGTACAGTTGTCTCCCTTTCC